TTCATGTTGTGGACAAAATTGCTTTAGCGACTCACGGTGACAGGCATAATGAGATCAAAAAATGAAATACATTGTGGTGTTTTATAAATTTTCGTTAGAAAATCGGTTCATTAAAAAATTATTTGATTTTTTCTCGATTGCATACCACGGAAGTGTAGAATCGCCAACCAAAGAAAGGTATATTAATCATCAGCAACATTTTAGAAACCAGCAAACTGGGGTAAGATAGAAGAAAAAAATGATATTTGATGAACATTGAAAATTTTTTATGTTTATTTTTTGGGCCTTAATGTCGAAAAAATACTTCCTTGATATTATCTCATTACAAACAAAAAAATATTTTTTAAACTTAGTTTAAATTGCAGGATTTACATGAAGAGGAAAGTATATTGAAAAAAAAATTTGACCCTAATGCAAATTTCCGTTATTTTAATTAAATGAAAAACTCAAAATGCCTAAAAATTTTTTGGTCCAAAACAAGTTTAATCTCACCAACCTTATTTCACACCAATTGAAAAAAAAAAAAGATTGTCTAAAATTTAAATTGCCCTGTAACCTTTAATGACGTTCATTTTTTTTAATTTATCTCTGCTAACTTTTATGGTAAAGTCAAAAAAAATTACAACGGCTGACCGATATTTTTACAAAATTTTTTTATGGTCTAAATGCAATTCTTAATTAAAAATCTTCCTACATAAACAAACGTTGGTGGTGGGAAACCCTAATTTAAATGGGTAAACATGAATTCAATTATGTTCTTTAAACATTTTTGATGTGAGAATGGTATTGCAAATTGAGGTTTCATAGTTATGTTTTTTTTTTATGGTCTAATGCAAACCTAAAATCGTAATTCTACAACCTTCATTTTTTCAGCACCCTAATTTAAATTAGGACCTTTAAATCAATTTTGCCTCTTGAAAAGAACTAAAAGCTTGAAACTTTTAAAATTATTCAATTTGTTTAAAAATGAAAGTAAAATTTATTTTTCGTCGAAATTTTTTTTATGGTCTAATGAAAACTTAATATTGTCTTAGTTCTGGGACATTTTTTCTAAGAACATCCTAAATTTTGCAAAAATTGTGATTTCTTCAAAGAAAATATTTTTTATCCCTAGCCATAATTCGACATATGTTTATTTTTTTTATGAATAAGCTCCTAAATGCCCAAACAAGAATAATGCTCATTTGAACCACTTTTTTACTTTTTTTTTTTTTTTAACCCTGACCTTTTAATCAAATTTCCCAATTTTCCAATTTCTCATATTTAAATCATTAATAATTTGCAAACAGGCATAAAAGTCTGCCCGGATTTTCTTACCAACACAAACTCGTCAAACTGAAAACCATTTTAGAATGCAATCTGGATAAACAAAACCCAATCCTTACTTGTTTACTGTCATGGACAACCCCGCTAATTTTGTCCAGACCATCTAATTTTGTTACCCTTTTTTAAACCCTTGATTCAGACTCATCCTCCTTCAAACATTTTTATTCAAACATCCAGTTCTGTTAAAATTGATTCTATGCCTAATTTGGTTTAAGTGGCTTTTAAGTAGTTATAATCACCGACCTTGCAGGCATTGTTCATGGGCAACCCTGAGGGGCAATTATGTTGCAGGCGCAAACCGGCCTATATGTACTTTTGATTTTTTTTAGTCTAACAATCAGAGAAAGCTCAATGATCCCTCTTATCCTAAACCTCAATAAACGTCCACTTCTTAACGTTATTTTTCCAATCTAGAATTTGTTTATGACAGACTGGACCTCTCATGCCTTCGGTCATGAATATAATTATATTTTAAAAAGTGCTCAATACAAAGTAGATCTAATAATATTTGTTTAAAAATTATAACATAAGCGTGTTATAACATAACAATATAGCCATTTTGTTTCAACACTTCTGGTGTCTTGTCAAATGATGGTGTTGACTGCAAAACAATTTGCTTATGTTATAATCTTTAAATAAGTATCATATATATATATATAATTTAATGAATGAAACCATAGCCTCACTTAACGTTGAAAATTTATTCACAAATGTTCCAGTTAGCGAAAATATTGATATTATTATAAAAAAAACATATACAATAATCCGTCTCTCCTTCTATTTAAAATTAAACCTAGTATATTACGGAAACTATTGTTAACTTGTAATACTGAAGTCCCATTCTACGATCACAGACATAATATATATATATATATATACAACGGGATGGTGTTTTCATGGGTTCATTTCTGGGCCCAACTTTTAATAATTTCTCTATGTATGGTCTCGAAAATAATGTTTGGTGAATATAAAAAACCCTTCATCTGGTTGGGGTATGTCGCTTGTCTCCTTGTCTTGCTCAGGATTATGGATGAAATATATCAACACCCAGAACAATTCCAAAATTGTCCTTAGGTTTCCATTCCAACTTAATAATACTCATAAAATTCTGTTTCTAGACATAATGATAAACACTAATGATGGTAGGTTCACTATCTCTACATATAGAGATTATACTGGCACAAATTCATGTACTCTAAACTATGGGAGTGAATGCCCAATTTACTATAGGTTGGCATTTATTAAAAAAAAACTAATAAACCGTTCAAAAATTAACTCATCCACAAAACAGTTTTTCTACAGTGAACTAAAATATATAAAACAAACTCTTATTAAAAATAACTTCGCTAATTATATCGTCGACGAACAAATAAGACGTTCTATTAGAAATTTTAATATAGGGCAAATAGAATATAATACTTCCACATATAATCTTAAACATATTAATCTTTTGTGTCACAATCAAACGCATTCTGCTTATAGACAGAACGAAAATATTCTAAAAAAAAAACTAATACTAATATATCCACAACAGATCCTAGTAAAAAAAATTAATTAATTATATACTATACTAAATTCATTATATCCAATTTAATCATTCGTAATGACTCCCCTCCAGTTCGTGTGTTGCAGAGACACATCATTTCTAACTTTAGAGGTCCCTTGGAAGATTGTGTCTCTAACAGAAGAGATGTTATGTTATATATGTTCGTCACACTACAGTTACGTTCTCTAGAGAGTTGGGTTTTCATATGAATGATGCATCTGACATCTATCGACATTTGAAGACGTATTCCTGTCCGCATTCGCAATTTAGAAAAATTCTTATTGAGAATGCATCTGTATTTTTTCATGAAAATAGTAAACATAGACTAAAACTTCTTGAAGCTCTCTATATTAAAAAATTGAAACCAAACATATCTAGGTTATAACTTATAGCTTTAAATAGTTTTTTTTTTAAATTGTTATATATCTCAATAACTTAGTTATCTCCTTGACATTTCTGCACGTGTATGTTTACATCATAAAATTATACATAAGCTTAGCGTTTCCCACTTAACAAGTAAAAAATTTAATTTTCAGATAAACACAGCAATTTTGTCTTAGCAAAAACAAGACCCTGAAGATGAGATTGTGCTAATGTCGAAAGTACTCGGAAATGAAATGGATATATATCAACGTGATAATTTTCTTTTTTCCTTTAATAAGGATACTAAGAAAATAGTCCGTGAATATCAAAGTATATAAGTAGACAAAACGTGTCTAAATTGTTTAATGAGATATGTCATATATATATATATATATATATATATATATATATATATATATATATATATATATATAATGGAAAAAAAACATAAAAAATATATATATATATATATTATCCGACTCATTGTCCTATATATATATATATATATATATATATATATGAGTGTGTGTGCACATGTATGTGTGCATGTAGTAGTAGCCGTAGTAATAGTAGTAATCATTATTTATGCCTGGAGGTTGTCCGCATGTTAATATTGGAACGTTTTTATATACACACCAATTGTTTTAGATAAACATAAGTTAGATTCTTAAAGTATGTATTTAATAAAGGTTAGTGATGTAATATAGTGTCTTTAACGTGTATACATAGTTGGTAAATTTTTTTACTGGGGATCCCTCGAAGTTTTTTCGACATTAAGAATAATGTTCTTTTTCAATCACGGTAATATTTGTAAAATCGAAGTTATGTCAGGTCTCGGTCCTGTGTACCACCACCAAACATAAATATAGCATATTAGACATATACACACACACACACGCAGGCACACATACACACACATATATGTATATATACCTTAGGAGGTATATATATATATATATATATATATATATATATATATATATACCTCCTGATTTTTAAACTTAAAAGCTCTACATGTTATTTTTATTTTTACTTGAGTACTTTTTAATACTACTGTTCCCTGGTCTGATTCAACTCTGACCATTAACTTATTTATATATATATATATATATATAGTGTGGCAATAAAGTCGATCTACAGTTACTTATAATAAAAAAGGAAGACATTGAAGTAGGTTGGCTTGCAGTTCGGGCAATATCGGCAATTAATTTACTATTGTTTATCATAGCATTTTGTTACTATTAACCATAATTTACCAGAACCATTTTAGTTATAAATTTCTGGGCTATTGATTAATTGTTTTGTCTTAATTGTTATTGTAAGTAACGGTATAGTGACTTTGTTGGAAATGTAAATTATCTATAAATTATCATCCGAGTTCCGTCTAGACACGCTAGAATTATGATACTATTACACACAAATTATAAACACGAATGCTGCTTGACTAGTCAAGTACATGTGAAGTCTAACTAATCAATGAAAACCAAATAACACAAAAATATTCTCTGTTGAAGCTTTAATAAAAGCGAGACATGTTCGATTTATAAACGTTTACTATTTGTTCTTTATCATATCATATATATGTATATATATATATGTGTGTGTGTGTATGCGTGTACACATGCGATCGTGCGTACCAAAACTTCGCGTGTACGATTTAGCATGCAACTGTTTCTCTGTTAATAGCGGCGTTTGAAATCTTTTTTATCTAGGTGTCTCGTCTCAGATGCCCACATATCGGTAACTGTGTTCTATTCGCCATGACAACGCGCCTGTTGCTTTCGCGTCCGGTCGACCACTTGAACAACCAGAGCAATTAGAAAGATCTCGTCCCGAGATCTCGTTCGGATAACGTCTCGCCGTTTCATCTCGCTTCGATTATTGTCGGAAGTCATTTGCTTGATAGGAGGGACGCCAGCTGCCATTTGGAATGGAACAATAAATCGAATTTGACGTTCGAACCAACGATTATCAGGACAAGTGGATCCGTATCTCTGTATGGCATTATAGTTGCGCGGGTTTTTCTGTGTGTCTGTTCGCGCTTGTCTGCGTGTCTGAAATAAAGAAAGAAAGAGTTTATAAATATGTATGTGCATTTGCATTGGCAAATGTGTAGCAGTCTCTATAAATTGACTCGTGTGCATACAAATTACAGTTTTTGTTGACGTGTCGTTATACGCATGAATATAGACAAATATATAGCGATCGTCATTAGCATATATTTGCATGTGCACATCGCTTGTAACGCATGCCTATTCCTTTCTTTGCAACAACACACACACACGCAAAAATACACACACACACATGTACATATATATATATATATATATATATATATATATATATATATATATATATATATATATATATATATATCTGGATCAGCGAAAATTCACAAAACATGCATTCAGATAACAATGCAATTATCTGCCGGTAGATTGATGCAATATATATATATATATGTATGTATGTATGTATGTGGGGGGGTAAAATTAAGATATAACTAAAAATATATCTGCAAACAATATGGATAAAGACGAAAGGAAAACTTATCTTAGCAGACGCCTTTCGTCCTTCATGAATTCTATCAAAGGACAATACGAGTTGGTTAAGTTTTCCTTTTGTCTTTATTTATCTCTCTCGCTCCTTTTCTCTCTCTCTGTCTTTGTATGTGTATATATATATATATATATATTTATATAACTTCAAACGTTATTTTAGTGGATACCCGTATTTGAGTAGACGCTCCCTTTATTTTAAACTGCATTTATTTCGTCTACCGGCCTGTGTACTCGAGAAAACTTAAAGAAAATATGCCCTCCATCCCCGGTAGGATTCGAACCTGCGTTCTTCTTTTCTGTCTAACGCGTTGTGTACTCTAGAAGGACTTCATCGGACTTGACTTTTTTTTTTCTTTTTTTTTGGGGGGGGCAGGTTATGGAATTATATAAGGGTATAAAGAGATCGCCAGTTATAATTATGCAGCCTAAAGATGTTGAAATGATGAAACTTTAAATCTTTATTTTCGTTTTTTAAACGAGTCGAGCCAAATTTATTCAGTTTCCTTATGCATTTTGTTTTTATCACTTTTATTATTAAGTGTTCCACATTGCGAATGAAATTGGCTAAATCAGTTTGATTGTTACTTTCTGTGTATCTCTGCGATACCAATGACAATGATGCTACCGATGAAGATGGTTAATTTGCGATCACGCTTCACAGGCGGTCCAAGGTAAACGCATGAGGAAATTCACGATTCGAAGTCCTCTTTTCGGAACTATGGACATTTTGATATTTTTATCAGCTGCTGTCATCCGAAATGGACGGAAATTCAAGCTGAATTATTACCAGAGAGGAAACATACAGACATTAATGGCACGGACGACTGTTCAGACAGAAGGTTTTCAAGCTGAATAAACACGTCTTTGAATTCAAAAATTCAATCTTTGGTCACTATGATCTGAGGAATTCTCGCTTCCTGCAATAGAATACTCATTAATGCGTTGATAACAGTCTTTTCTATATTCAACAAGAAATGCCAGCTCAACTATTCTTTTTTGCAAACACTTTGAAAGTATCACTGGGAAAGCCGCTCCAAAGACATTCTCGGCAGTCATCGTCAGCATCAACAGAATATTCCTGTTGGGTGCAATAAGTTCTTCGACAAAGGACTGATCTTACTTGAAAACAGAGTTTAGTCGGTCGTAAAACGATTCAGGGGTGTTGCCTTCCCGTTCTAATTAGAAGGAATTTTCCTCTCGGTGTTAAAAAGTTTAAGGCGTGTGATCTTTCTTTTCTAGACAGGTACTTTTTCTGTTGCAAGTAAAAAGTTACAGGCGTGTGGCTTTACTGTTGTAGAGCGGAGGGATTTTTTTTACTTAGTGGTAAAAAGGCCTAAGGTGTGTGACCTTCCTTTTCTAGACAGGCGAAATTTTTCTGTTGCATGTAGAATATCTGTAGGCGCGTGGCTTTCCTATTGTAGTATGGTGAGTTTTTTTTTACTTGCTGGTAAAAGCATAAGGCGTGTGACCTACGTTTTCTAGACATAGGGAATTTTTCTGTTGTAAGTAAAAATCTGCAGTCGTGTGGCTTTCCTGTTGTAGAGTGATGAAATTTTTTACTTTGTGGTAAAAAGCATAAGACGTGTCACCTTCCTTTTCTAGACAGAGGAATTTTTTCTGTTGCATGTAAAAATCTATAGTTGTGTGGCTTTCCTATTGTAGAGTGGTGAGATTTGTTTTACTTTGTGGTAAAAGCATAAGGCGTGTAGGCTTCCTGTCTTAAACGGATGGAATTTTTCTTTTCGTGATAAAAGGTTTAAGAGATGTGGCTTACCTGTTCTAGACAGTTCTCTTGCTGGAAAAATCCTATCATTTATGATCTTCCTGTTCTAGGGGAAATCTCACGCCCTCAGCCCTACCTATTCTATTAATATTCCACTTTCGCAGGTAAATCAATTTTACGGAATAGACTTCTGCATATATACTTCCCTGGACATTACAATCTTAACCGATTCAATTCAATATTTATCTATCACTCTGACACCATAATCTTCACTCTCTAGCTCCTCCTCTCATATTCATATCGTACGCCTCATTCAGTAAATCTCTACTATAAGAAGCTCTTGCATCTTTTGAACTGAAAGTAAATACGACACACGAAACACAAGAATTTGCAGAAAAATTCGAGTTGGTTTACACAATTTCTTTTGACGATAGATTTAATTTGTATTTTTATTTTTTTTTTTTTTTTTTGGTGAAAAAACCATCGACTTGTGAATTTACTCCACAACTACGTCTGTCCTCAAATTACAAATGGCGTCAATTCAGCAATCACGAAGCTGAGACGAAAAAATTCTTCCCCATGCTGTGTATCCATCAAGTCAATCGCTTTCGGACTGTCACATTTTTTTTTTCGAAATGTTCACACAATACAAGACCCAAGTGCCACTCAGTCTAGAGATGTACTGAATTAGGTTGTTCTATAGATACAGTGTAACCCGGATATAAGAGAAACCCGGATATAAGAGAGATTTTCTCTGGTCCCAAATTAGAGCCTGTGTTAATGTATATAAAATAGACCAAACCCGGATATAAGAGAAACCCGGATACAAGAGACTTCTTCTCCGGTCCCGACAACTCTCTTATATCCGGGTTACACTTTATATGAGGAGGAATCAGAAACTGAAGATTAAGAGGATGTGTAGGATAAATAACTGTTTACCTGGGGCTTGAAGAGATTAAGATTGTAGCGATCGAAGAGGTATAATAGCGGTCCTCGTGAAGAATATGTCTGGGTGGTAATTCCTTCTTACCAATGGAATATGTTCCGCTTCCTGGAGCACTCATTGTCTGGACGGCAATTCTAACAATTTAAAGATATCGAAAAATTCCTACAAGAATTCATTGCATCAAAACCGGAATCGTTCTTTTTATGATGGAATGCATAGATGAGTTGTTGTTTGGTTGGTTTAGCAGCATATCAACATCTATAGGTTATTTGATGCTGTAATTAAAATATATCGAATGCAATACTATCGTTTTAAATAAATATATTTCGAACGAAAATTTAAATATTTTGAACGCAATTGTATGCTTTTAACCACAGATTAAATGCATTATTTGTCATTTTTCTATGAAAAGTATTGTTGGTAATTTTACTATAAATTGTTGGTATTTTTATGTAAAAATGTATTGCTAGTATTTTTACTTTAAAAATGTATTTTTATATTTTCATGGTATTTTGTTCATGTTTTGGATTTTGACTCTTTGCCCATAGCTGGGATTCTAACAGGGTCAGGGCAGACCTGGGGACAACAGCAATTAAGAGGATGTTTCACGTCCCTGAAAACTTTCAATCTCCAGATCAAAGGCCTTGCTGCTGGATGTGGTTTATCGTCATACCCAGGACTGTATATATGTATGTGTGTCTGTAATATGCCTGTCTGTGGTGGCAACATTCAGTTTTAAAATAAATAAAATGTAATGTTGATTATTTTGCTATAAAAAGTATTGCTGGTAATTCAACCACCCCGCGTCACGGTGGACCTGGGAACATCAGCAATTAGGAGGTGGTTCCACGCTCCTCAAAACAACTAATCTCCCTATCAGAGGCCTTGCTGCCGGATGTAGTTCATCGTCAGACCCCATAGCTGAGTTGGTAGTTGGTGTAAGATCATAGGAAGCAATATGAAGTATTTTTTACGAGTAAATAGGAATATGGAAACTGAGGGCAAGGAAAGGCTTGTAAATTTGAACGCCCCTAAAACAAAACTGCTATCATTTAAACACCATCGAGAACATGTTCTGTCCTCCATCAAGATGGCTGATGCTAATCTCCAAGGGAACAACACTTTGCTCTTTCTTGTACGCGCATTTTATATTGAAATAAAGTGAAGTGATTATATTGTATCAATCGCAAAGTCTATTGCTATAAAAGTTTGTTCACTGTGTCATAACAGACAATTTCTCATCAGAATCCCTCTTTCACATTTATAAATCTACCATCCGTCCGTGCATTATATATTGCTGCAATATATATCATGCACTCGAGATTCTTGACAAAATCCAAATAAGCGTCTGTATCGGTGGAACAATGGATAGCGGCTTGGATTGGGGAATTGGAGAGCCGAGTTCGAAATCCAGTCAAATCCATTACATTCATTTACTTGCTAATACCCTTGGGAAAAAGTTATGAATCCTTTTCTTCTCCCTCCCCTCCAGCTATGGGTAAATAGCAGGACAGACCCGATTCTATAGCCTTGGATGACAACAGGTCCACAGCAGAAGGAAATGGTAACCTCCTCCGGGAAAAAAAATTGCCTCGTCAGTCACTTAGCGAAAGATAGATGATCGCCTACGCGTGTATCACACATGGTACATAACGGACTGACTGAATGTAATCGGTTCTGACCTGGCATCTCGAATCCAGTCACTTTCCCACCTTTGTGGCACAACTTCTTTTCTCTAAATATTTGCATGGCAATTGCTCTAATGAGATCCTCTCTTTGGTACCTCGACTGCATGAATTTAAGCGCATTACCAGATTGGCAATTAGGTCTCACCGTTTTTCTATTGAACTAGAAATATGCAACCGT